TTAATTATACTAAACAAAAAGTTAGTCAATATCTGGTGTGACCACCATTTGCCTCATTCAGTGCGACACATCTCCTTCGCATAGAGTTGATCAGGCTGTTGATTGTGGCCTGTGGAATGTTGTCCCACTCCTCTTCAATGGCTGTGCGAAGTTGCTGGATATTGGCAGGAACTGGAACATGCTATCATACACTCGATCCAGAGCATCCCAAATATGCTCAATGGGTGACATGTCTGGTGAGTATGCAGGATATGGAAGAACTGGGACATTTTCAGCTTCCAGGAATTGTGTACAGATCCTTGCGACATGGGGCCGTGCATTATCATGCTGAAACATGAGGTGATGACGGCAGATGAATGGCACGACAATGGGCCTCAGGATCTCGTCACGGTATCTCTGTGCATTCAAATTGCCATTGAGAAAATTAAATTATGTTCGTTGTCCGTAGCTTATGCCTGCCCATACCATAACCCCACCGCCACCATAGGGCACTCTTTTCACAACGTTGACGTCAGCAAACCGCTCGCCCACACGACGCCATAAACGTGGTCTGCGGTTGTGAGGCCGGTTGGACGTACTGCCACATTTTCTAAAACGACGTTGGAGGGATGACTTATGGTAGAGAAATGAACATTCAATTCTCTGGCAACAGCTCTGGTAGACATTCCTGCAGTCTCCCTCAACTTGAGACATCTGTGGCATTGTGTTGTGTGAAAAAACTGCACATTTTAGAGTGACACAAGTTGCACCTGTGTAATGATCATGCTGTTTAATCAGCTTCTTGATATGCCACACCTGTCAGGTGGATGAATTATCTTGGCAAAGGAGAAATGCTCACTAACAGGGATGTAAACAAATTTGTCCACAAAATTTGAGAGAAAGAAGCGTTTGTGCGTACGGAACATTTCTGGGATCTTTTATTTCAGCTCATGAAACATGGGACCAACACTTTACATGTTGCGTTTATATTTTGTTCAGTGGGAGTTTGTGAACAGAGAACCATAAAGAACTCTACACCACATTCAAGTTTTCATCCTGCACCAACACACAAGTACTTGAAATGCACGAAAAAAATTGAACTATCCATTTTCGCTTTTATTAATTATAGCACAGACATGATTTACCCCTCCACAGTTTTCATTATCTTATCTAGTAATTATAGAATCACCCATGTTTTGTAGCCTATGCTGTTTCATGCAACACTTTCTGGCCATGAGCATGTTGTTAAAATGTAGCCTATCACTGATCAAATGTTCTCATAAGGTATGAGCAAACGAGTTTGGTACAGGGACAGACATTTTTACATGCAAATCTGATTGGATACAGCATTTGATGATTTAAATATCAGCCTCAATTTAACTTTCAGAGTTGCTTTTTTTATTCTGAGGGCTAACCAGGGACATTTCCAGGGACAGCTCTACTAGCTCAGGACACCAAAATCAGGGACTGTCCCAGAAATCAGGGATGTCTGGTCACCCTAACTTGAGGGCTGCAGACAGTTAGTTTGACACCTTACAATCATTAATGGACTTAAAACTGGTAATGCCTTGACTGCCAATTCGAGGCATTTCAATTTGACCATGTCATTTTATTTAGAAGTAGGGCACCAAAACAACTTGTGATCATCTGCAACGGAGGCTCTGCACGGTCGGGGGACTTTTATTACTATTTCTATTCAGCTCCTTATTTAAATATTTATTCGGGAAGGATCTGATCCAAACTGGTAGGGAAAGTATGACACATAGGCCTACACGAAGTGAGTGTTAGTGGGTATGTCCTTCTAATGTGGTGATGTACGGTGTAGTCATCATTATGTTTTTTAATGTACCCACTGTGTTTCTAGGTAACTGTTTTTCTCCGACAACAACCCTATCTCTCCTCCAACTTCAAATCTTACATACTCCCTTCAGCTCAAAAGCTCTGATAGACAGCAGGGGAAACAGACAAAACAGAGGACACTATAAAAAATATTATATCCTCAGCCCCACGTACAGTATACACGTATAAATTCAGTTACAAGTGATATGATGTCTCTGATAGTAAAAACAGACTTGACATACAGTAAATCCATGTGTGGGAGAATACTGGCATAAATGGGAAATAGATGCTCTTCTGTCATATATTTCAACACCTCATGACTATCTGGAAGAACATATACTGGCTTAATGGATTTTATAGGGAGGAGTGGAAAGAAGTCACACTGCAATGTAAGCCAAGAGGAGACGAACATATGGCTATTCAGATAAGATGTCTCATTACTTCACAAAATAAAAACCTACACACATTCCTAACAGGTGTTTCTTCACTCTAAATGAAGTCTTCCAAAACTTCTCAATACTGGAGCTTGAGATGGGAGAAAATGTTGTTTTAAGCACCTTTTAACATTAGCAAGGCTTTATGCAGGTCCTTGTCCTTTTGCATAGTGCAGGTTACACAAGTTTCCAAGCAAGGGAGGCCAGAGATACTGTCACAGACAATAAAACCTGGAGTAAACATATACTGAAGTTCCCACACAATGATTTCATTATGGGGCCAAACTCTGGACTGTGTCCACTTCAGGACAGTGTCCCATATAAACAAAACACTCTCCTCCAATGAAAACAGAGCCAGATGTTACAACGCTGACGATAACACGTAATGACCAAACAGAGCATCCTAAACAGTCTGGGAGGTACATATACAGTGCATTCGGAAAGTATTCAGACCCCTTCCCTTTTTCCACATTTTGTTACGTTACAGCCTTATTCTTAAAAGGGATTAAATAAAATGTCCTCATTAATCTACACACAAAACCCCATAATGACAAAGCGAAAACAGGTTTTTAGTCATTTTTGCAAATTTATTACAAATTTGAAACAGAAATACCTTATTTACATAAGTATTCAGACCTTTTGCTATGAGACTTGAAATTGAGTTCAGGTGCATCCTGTTTCCATTGATCATCCTTGAAATGTTTCTACAACTTGATTTGTGTCCACCTGTGGTAAATTAAATTGATTGGACCAAGCCATGAGGTCGAAGGAATTGTCCGTAGAGCTCTGAGACAGGATTGTGTCGAGGCACAGATCTGGGGAAGGGTACCAAAACATTTCTGCAGCATTGAAGGTCCCCAAGAACTCTGTGGCCTGCATCATTCTTAAATGGAAGAAGTTTGGAACCACCAAGACTTTTCCTAGAGCTGGCCGCCCGGCCAAACTGAGCAATCTGGAGAGAAGGGCCTTGGTCACTCCATCAATCAGGCCTTTATGGTAGAGTGGCCAGACGGAAGCCACTCCTCAGTAAAAGGCACATGACAGCCCGCTTGGAGTTTTCAAAAAGGCACTTAAAGGGCTCTCAGACAATGAGAAACAAGATTATCTGGTCTGATGAAACCTGTCTCTCTTTGGCCTGAATTCCAAGCGTCACGTCTGGAGGAAACCTGGCACCTTCCCTACGGTGAAGCATGGTAGTGGCAGCATCATGCTGTGGGGATGTTTTTCAGCAGCAGGGACTGGGAGACGAGTCAGAATCGAGGGAAAGATGAACGGAGCAAAGTACAGAGAGATCTTGATGAAAACCTGCTCCAGAGCGCTCAGGACCTCAGACTGGGGCGAAGGTTCACCTTCCAACAGGACAACGTCCCTAAGCACACAGCCAAGACAATGCAGGAGTGGCTTCGGGACAAGTCTCTTAAATGTCCTTGAGTTACCCAGCCAGAGCCCGGACTTGAACCCAATCTAACATCTCTGGAGGGAGCTGAAAATAGAAGAATGGGAGAAAATCCCCAAATACAGGTGTGCCAAGCTTGTAGCGTCATACCCAAGAAGACTCGAGGATGTAATCACTGCCAAAGGTGAGTAAAGGGTCTGAATACTTATGTAAATGTCATATGTCAGTTTTTTATTTTAAAAAACAGTTTTAAAAACCAGTTTTTGCTTAGTCATTATGGGCTATTGTGTGTAGATTGATGAGGGGGGGGGGGACAATTTAATCCAGTTTAGAATAAGGCAGTAACGTAACAAAATGTGGAAAAAGTCAAGGGGTCTGAATACTACTCCATCTAGCCACAATGGTAGAAACGTAAACAGACCATCACTCCCAACATACCATCAGTATCATAACACCGGCACAGTTTTTCTCCAAGTGTAGTGTAAAAGTTCTACTCTTACTACTGTTGAAGAAAGAATGTCTTAAATTATTCGACAAGCCCCATGGGCTAGAGTACATCCTGGAACTGCACCAGATAAGAGGTAGTAAATAAAGGCTATTGCTGTTTCACGGTTGAGATTGTATGACCACGCTCCCTGAACCACTTGGGAGATTCACAATTGGATTGCCTTAATTCCTTGCGACCTCTCCTCCACTACTTTTGAAAAAGGTGAAAGGTAATCGAGGAGAGGAGGCGAGGAGAAGAAACAAATGTGCTTGTATAAAATGAGACTATCCTTTTCCACTAGGGCAAATTATTTTTTACAGAGGTGGAATCCCTAAATACATGTGCAAAGTGCTAAAAAAAGAAATGTAGCTAGTTGTGCTAGACATTTTATAGATAAAACGATCAGTAACGTATCGTTTTTAAATGTGTGCATGCTTTTCTCCTCCGAGAGTACAACAACAAAGGGGGTGTGGCAGATTTCAAAATTCTTCCGCGGTAGGATACACCGGCGCATCCTCCACCAGAGGAGGCAATCGAGGAGAGGAGCAAACTCCTCCGTTTACCTATTAACAAATTGACACTCACATACAAATGGCGACCACTTATCGGTTTCCGGGTCATGGAGGAAAGGAGTACCGAGGAGTTGAGGAAAGAATGGACTTCTTCCCAATTGAGAAAAGGCTAATGACTGACCAGAGATGGAAACAAAGAGTAATATTCACTTCATGCCATGGGCTGAATGTTAACATGGAGAATTCCTGCCATGATCATAGAAAGCACTAGAAAACAACATGTTAAAGAGATTGTCTCTGTGCACGCACACACACGCACAACGTCGCATACAGTATGTCCGGCAGACTTGGGTTTAGGGACAGCCTCTTTTTAAGTTGTTTTCCTGGAAAAGGCAGGGATGACATGGAGCTTTAAGGAATGCAGAGCAGCGTAGCAGCAACGGGGCCACAACCAGGAGGAGCTGAGCTGGAAGTGTGTGTGTGTGTGAGAGAGAGGGTATGAGTGTGTGTGAGAATGTGAGAGTGTGTGTGTGAGTGAGAGAGTGTGTGTGTGTGTGTGTGTGTGTGTGTGTGTGTGTGTGTGTGTGTGTGTGTGTGTGTGTGTGTGTGTGTGTGTGTGTGTGAGTGAGTGAGTGAGTGAGTGAGTGAGGTCACTTTAAAACCAGCTGCCATTATTCCTGTATACAAAAGTCAAACTGCATATTTTCTTTCAACCAAAAAAGAAAACGAGGCCATTAAATTAAATTAACAAAGAGTGCATCCTCAAGATCATCAGGCTCTCCTAATTAACCTAAAAAAGTTTTTATTTCAACTTCAAAACACAGAACTTAAGAGCAGGTTTGATAAATGTGCTCCAATTAAACAATAATTTTTATAACAACGTCCACCCAAACAGGTCTGGATTATATTTGGCACACTCATACACTGAGGAGAGGCTTGGAGCATGAAACAACAATCCGAGATTGAGAAAGGGAAAATAATCAAGGGAGAGTAGAGCAAACAGAATCCCACTGACTAGATATCTTCCTATCCAACAGGATAAGAAATACGAGTCAAGACAGACAAAGACATGGGTTGTCTTGTGTCAAGCTGAATATGAAACCCCTTGTTATGGATGATATTATTTGAGATTTCACTGGTTGTTTTCATTGGGTTGATTATCTCATGTTGTTAATGTTCCCCGTATGGTCTCCTTTGGCTGTTCTTCCAGCTGATGGCGACTCACTTTCTTCATGTGGGATTAATAAAGAATCTTCTTCGGTTACATAACGCTGGAATCTTCAAGAAAGTGTGTTGCAATAACGCATGATGATCTCATCCTTTACACACTCCAAGGAACGTCTCATTAGAGTGACCACGCACAACCCAACATCAGTCATTTAACTGTTCACTGACATGACAGTGACAGAGATTGTGCTGAGTAGATAGGAGAGTGAAAACTTCATCACCATCTGGAAAACTATAACAGTGGATGCAGATCCACTTTGTATCTCAGACAGATCTATGATTATAGGTTTGTAAAGTACTGCACATATAGACTATATGATATATTGACTAAAATGGTCTTCATAGACACTTTCAATGAGGTTTAATAAGCATTAAAAAAAACTTTGGTCATGTTACCAATGACCAGGAAATATTTTTAGGATAGTTTGATCTCATTAAGGGGTATTATTGAGAGAAGTGTTTTCACCAGCTATTGAGGAAGGTAAAACATGAGTCTTGACCATAACACACACACTTGCTCATAGCGACTCCTATTCGTCGAGTCGTGTTCATGCTCCTCAACTGCTCATGCACAAACATTATTGATGCATGTGTGGTGACCATAGCCGCGGGAAGTAGCTTGGGGGCGGGGTGCTGCGATAGTTTTGCTGAAGGGGGCGGGGGTCTATATTGGTCCGCTAATACAGGACTAGTAAAGGCCCAGTGCAATACTTTTGTTTAAAAAAATTAACAAAATGTATACTGGACAAAAATATAAAACGCAACATGCAAAGTGTTGGTCCCATGTTTCATGAGCTGAAATAAAAGTTCCCAGAAAAATTCCATACGCACCAAAAATGTATTTCTCTAAAATTGTGCACTGATTTGTTTACATCCCTGTTAGTGAGCATTTCTCCTTTGCCAAGATAATCCATCTATCTCATTTACAGTTCTTTGAAAAGGAAATATATATATATATTTTTTTTTGTCATTTAGCAGGCGCTCTTATCCAGAGCGACTTACATTTTTAGTGAGTGCATACATTTTTCATACTGGCCCCCCGTGGGATTCGAACCCACAACCCTATTTACCTGGAGCTAACCCTGCAGATAGCACTACTGGGTGATGTGAAAAGTCATAGTCAATCGATCAATAATATAATAATACTTTTAGCAAAAATGTTTATTTTCAATGTACAATCTGTAGAAACAATGAGAATAGAAGGGTTCAGAACTTTTGTGAAACATCACAGTACAGTTGAAAAATATATGGCAAATAGAAATCCAATATGGATGGTGTTAAGAGATAGATGGGAGGTGTTGAATGGAGTTGAAGGATGGGACTAATAACAACAAGATAACTAATGTAAAGCATACTGTGTCCATAATAAGTATATAGGTTATAGGTTGAGAGCTTTTGTGAAAGAGCACAGTTAGAAATATATGGCATATAGAAGCAAACAGGATGGACATCATGAAAATGATTGGAGAGGTTGAGGGTAGAGGAAGTTCAGGAGTAAAAACAAACAAAACAGAATTATTGTAAAATTGACTGTGTCCATAAAATGTCTATAGTATGTATAAGCTGGACGTAGAGGCCTTAGTATTGCTGAACACTAGTTTACTCCAATTAGGGAAGGGGTGGTAGGGTTGGAAAGTAATAAAGGGATTTATTATTTTAAAATTTGGATATGTATATATACAGTGGGGAGAACAAGTATTTGATACACTGCCGATTTTGCAGGTTTTCCTACTTACAAAGCATGTAGAGGTCTGTAATTTTTATCATATGTACACTTCAACTGTGAGAGACGGAATCTAAAAGAAAAATCCAGAAAATCACATTGTATGATTTTTAAGTAATTAATTTGCATTTTATTGCATGACATAAGTATTTGATCACCTACCAACCAGTAAGAATTCCGGCTCTCACAGACCTGTTAGTTTTTCTTTAAGAAGCCCTCCTGTTCTCCACTCATTACCTGTATTAACTGTACCTGTTTGAACTCGTTACCTGTATAAAAGACACCTGTCCACACACTCAATCAAACAGACTCCAACCTCTCCACAATGGCCAAGACCAGAGAGCTGTGTAAGGACATCAGGGATAAAATTGTAGACAAGGCTAGGATGGGCTACAGGACAATAGGCAAGCAGCTTGGTGAGAAGGCAACAACTGTTGGCGCAATTATTAGAAAATGGAAGAAGTTCAAGATGACGATCAATCACCCTCGGTCTAGGGCTCCATGCAAGATCTCACCTCATGGGGCATCAATGATCATGAGGAAGGTGAGGGATCAGCCCAGAACTACACGGCAGGACCTGGTCAATGACCTGAAGAGAGCTGGGACCACAGTCTCAAAGAAAACCATTAGTAACACACTACGCCGTCATGGATTAAAATCCTGCAGCGCACGCAAGGTCCCCCTGCTCAAGCCAGCGCATGTCCAGGCCCGTCTGAAGTTTGCCAATGACCATCTGGATGATCCAGAGGAGGAATGGGAGAAGGTCATGTGGTCTGATGAGACAAAAATAGAGCTTTTTGGTCTAAACTCCACTCGCCATGTTTGGAGGAAGGATGAGTACAACCCCAAGAACACCATCCCAACCGTGAAGCATGGAGGTGGAAACATCATTCTTTGGGGATGCTTTTCCGCAAAGGGGACAGGACGACTGCACCGTATAGAGGGGAGGATGGATGGGGCCATGTATCGCGAGATCTTGGCCAACAACCTTCTTCCCTCAGCAGTAAAGATGGGTCGTGGCTGGGTCTTCCAGCATGACAACGACCCGAAACACACAGCCAGGGCAACTAAGGAGTGGCTCCGTAAGAAGCATCTCAAGGTCCTGGAGTGGCCTAGCCAGTCTCCAGACCTGAACCCAATAGAAAATCTTTGGAGGGACCTGAAAGTCCGTATTACCCAGCGACAGCCCCGAAACCTGAAGGATCTGGAGAAGGTCTGTATGGAGGAGTGGGCCAAAATCCCTGCTGCAGTGTGTGCAAACCTGGTCAAGACCTACAGGAAACCTACAGTATGATCTCTGTAATTGCAAACAAAGGTTTCTGTACCAAATATTAAGTTCTGCTTTTCTGATGTATCAAATACTTATGTCATGCAATAAAATGCAAATTAATTACTTAAAAATCATACAATGTGATTTTCTGGATTCTTGTTTTAGATTCCGTCTCTCACAGTTGAAGTGTACCCATGATAAAAATTACAGACCTCTACATGCTTTGTAAGTAGGAAAACCTGCAAAATCGGCAGTGTATCAAATACTTGTTCTCCCCACTGTATGTATGTATACGTATTTATATGTATGTGTGTATGTATGTATGTATGTATGTATGTGTGCATGTATGTATATGTATATATATATATATATATATATATATATATATTTGCGAGAAGAAAAAAAACATATGGGGGATTGGAAGTGATGCAGAGTGGCCGGGGACTTTAATGCAGGGAAACTTAAATCCGTTCTACCTCATTTCTACCAGCATGATAAATGTGCAACCAGAGGAAATAAAACTCTAAACCACCTTTACTCCACACACAGAGACGCATACAAAGCACTCCCTCGCCCTCCATTTGGCAAATCTGACCATAACTCTATCCTCCTGATTCCTGCTTATAAGCAAAAACTAAAGCAGGAAGCACCAGTGACTCGGTTAATAAAAAAGTGGTCAGATGCTAAGCTACAGGACTGTTTTGCTAGCACAGACTGGAACATGTTCCAGGATTCTTCAGATAGCATTGAGGAGTACACCACATCAGTCACTGGCTTCATCAATAAGTGCATCGATGATGTTGTCCCCACAGTGACCGTACGTACATACCCCAACCAAAAGCCATGGATTACAGGAAACATCCGCACTGAGCTAAAGGGTAGAGCTGCCACTTTCAAGGAGCGGGACTCAAACCCGGACACTTATAAGAAATCCCGCTATGCCCTCCGACGAACCATCAAACAGGCAAAGAGTCAATACAGGACTAAGATTGAATCGTACTACACCGGCTCTGACGCTAGTCGATTGTGGCAGGGCTTGAAAACTATTACAGACTACAAAGGGAAGCACAGACGCGAGCTGGCCAGTGACACAAGACTTCCAGACAAGCTAAACCACTTCTATGCTCGCTTCGAGGCAAGCAACACTGAAGCATGCATGAGAGCACCAGCTGTTCCGGATGACTATGTGATTACGCTCTCCGTAGCCGATGTGAGTAAGACTTTTAAGCAGGTCAACATTCACAAGGCTGCAGGGCCAGACGGATTACCAGGATGTGTACTCCGAGCATGTGCTGACCAACTGGCAAGTGTCTTCACTGACATTTTCAACATCTCCCTGACTGAGTCTGTAATACCAACATGTTTCAAGCAGTCCACCATAGTCCCCGTGCCCAAGGACACTAAGATAACCTGCCTAAATGACTACCGACCCGTAGCACTGACGTCTGTAGCCATGAAGTGCTTTGAAAGGCTGGTCATGGCTCGCATCAACACCATTATCCCAGAAACCCTAGACCCACTCCAACTTGCATACCGCCCCAACAGATCCACAGATGATGCAATCTCTATTGCACTCCACACTGCCCTTTCCCACCTGGACAAGAGGAACACCTATGTGAGAATGCTATTCATTGACTACAGCTCAGCATTCAACACCATAGTGTCTTCAAAGCTCATCACTAAGCTAAGGATCCTGGGACTAAACACCTCCCTCTGCAACTGGATCCTGGACTTCCTGACGGGCTGCCCCCAGGTGGTAAGGGTAGGTAACAACACATCTGCCACACTGATCCTCAACACAGGGGCCCCTCAGGGGTGCATGCTCAGTCCCCTCCTGTACTCCCTGTTCACCCATGACTGCATGGCCAGGCACGACTCCAACACCATCATTAAGTTTGCCGACGACACAACAGTGGTAGGCCTGATCACCGACAACGATGAGACAGCCTATAGGGAGGAGGTCAGAGACCTGGCCGTGTCGTGCCAGGATAACAACCTCTCCCTCAACGTGACCAAGACAAAGGAGATGATTGTGGACTACAGGAATAAAAAGAGGACTGAGCACGCCCCCATTCTCACCGACGGGGCTGTAGTGGAACAGGTTGAGAGCTTCAAGTTCCTTGGTGTCCACATCACCAACGAACTATCATGGTCCAAACACACCAAGACAATCGTGAAGAGGGCACGACAAAGCCTTATTCCCCCTCAGGAGACTGAAAAGATTTGGCATGGGTCCTCAAAAGATTCTACATCTGCACCATCGAGAGCATCCTGACTGGTTGCATCACCGCCTGGTATGGCAACTGCTTGGCCTCCGACCGCAAGGCACTACAGAGGGTAGTGCGTACGGCCCAGTACATCACTGGGGCCAAGCTTCCTGCCATCCAGGACCTCTATACCAGGCGGTCAGAGGAAGGCCCTCAAAATTGTCAAGGACTCCAGCCACCCTAGTCATAGACTGTTCTCTCTGCTACCGCACGGCAAGCGGTACCGGAGAGCCAAGTCTAGGTCCAAAAGACTTCTCAACAGCTTCTACCCCCAAGCCATAAGACTCCTGAACAGCTAATCATGGCTACCCTGACTATTTGCACTGCCCCCTACCCCCACCCCATCTTTTTACACTGCTGCTACTCTGTTAATTATTTATGCATAGTCACTTTAACTCTACCCACATGTACATATTACTTCAACTACCTCAACTAGCCGGTGCCCCCGCACATTGACTCTGCACCGGTACCCCCCTGTATATATAGCCTACCTACTGTTATTTTATTTTACTTCTGCTCTTTTTTTCTCAACACTTTTTTGTTGTTGTTTTATTTTACTTTTTTTATTCAAATAAATGCACTGTTGGTTAAGGGCTGTAAGTAAGCATTTCACTGTAATGTCTGCCCCTGTTGTATTCGGCGCATGTGGCCAATAACATTTGATTTGATTTGACAATTACATTGATGGAAGTTATAATCTATCTGCAATATTAAAGCTGATCTACCCTATAAAAAATAAATAACAATAATAATAATACAAAATAATAATAATAATCCATCCACCTGACAGGTGTGGCATATCATAAAGCTGATTAAACAGCATGATCATTACACAGGTGCACCTTGTGCTGGGGACAATAAAAGGCCACTAAAATGTCCACCAGAGCTGTTGCCAGAGAATTTGATGTTAATTTTTCTACCATAAACCGCCTCCAACGTCATTTTAGAGAATGTGGCAGTGCGTCCAACCGGCCTCACAACCGCAGACCACACCAGCCCAGGACCTCCACATCCGGCTTCTTCACCTGCGGGATCGTTTGAGACCAGCCACCTGGACAGCTGATGAAATTGAGGAGTATTTCAGTCTGTAATAAAGCCCTTTTGTGGGGAAAGACTCATTCAGATTGGCTGGACCTGGCTCCCCAGTGGGTGGGTCTGGCTCCCAAGTGGGTGGGACTATGCCATCCCTGGCCCACACATGGCTGCACCCATGCCCAATCATGTGAAATCCATAGATTAGGGCCTAATGAATTGATTTCAATTTACTGATTTCCTTATATGAACTGTGACTCATTAAAATCTTTGAAATTGTTGCATTTATATTTTTGGTCAGTATATTTTAGTGTTTACCAGCATTTGTAACTTGAGTCTGATAATTATCTGTACAAAACAGTTAATCTGATAATACTTGTGGAATATAAAAATACTTGCTTGATATGTTTTCCAGGTTCTTGAAATACTTTGCAAATGCAACTTACTTCTATGTGAAAACTGTAATGGTCTACTCATTCCTTTTCCATTTTATTAGACGCTCTTATCCAGAGCAATTTACAGTAGTGAGTGCATAAATGTTCATACAAGTCCCCCATGGTAATCGAACCCACAACACTAGCATTGCAAGTGCCACGCTCTGCCACATCGTCACGAACCACTTGATGTGTCAATGTACTCAAATATTGTATTTTACATTGTTATTCTTCATGGTGATGGAAAGTCTATAGGTACAAACCTAGATGATCAGCCTATGTAGAATACAGTAATGTATATTTACATTAAGTGGTTTGTAAAGATGGTAAATTAATACTGCACAAAAAGTGTTTGTTTGATTAAGAAAAATATTTAATTTGATGTGGATGTTGTATCTTTGCACCTTTTGATGTAAATGTTTGAGGACAGGTTATATTTTTATTCTGTCTGGATTCCATTAGAATGACAATCGCAGAGAAAGGGACAGGGCAACAACTCCTCCAATTCCACCTATTGAATCCTGCAAGATACTGTTCTTAATTATCCAACTACCTTTTTTGCCAAAGTGGAGATGCTCAAAAAATGTTTTTGCTCCTACTACAGACTTCTATATCGGTCCGCTAATACTAATAAAGGCCCAGTGCACTATTCACTCTTTTGTGGAAAAAAAATATTTTCTTTGTTTGTATATTTTATTTCAGATTTTTCAGCACCCCTACTTACATTTTACATTTTAGTAATTTAGCAGACGCTCTTATCCAGAGCGACTTACAGTTAGTGAGTGCATACATTTTCATACTGGCCGCTCGTGGGAAACGAACCCACACTCCCGCGGCTATAGTGGTGACCATGACCTCACTTAACAATGCTAAACTTCAGTCAGAATTAAATAACTAGTATTGCATAAACTATTGTACCTTGTCTATAAAGTTTGTTTTAATGCATGTAATATTGATTGAACATATACCTTACGATGGGGTAAAACAATTTTTTGGGAAGCATACAGTTGGCATCGTTCCCATTCTCATAACAAAGGAATGTTTTTAACTGTAGTCAAAAGTTGTACAATTTAGCAAAACATGGCACAATATTTCTGTATTTTTTTCTTTACCTAATAACATGATTTCCAGTTTCTTGCGGTCCACTCGAAATCTCTCCTCCGTCCACTCCGGGTCTGGTAAGGCATGGGGTCCGCTCAAGTCATCCTCCGAGCCGGGGACCGGGGAGTCAGTACTACGCTCGCTATTTGAGCCGTGGTCCGACTGTTGCAAGTATCCGCTCAGAGAGTCGCACTGGGCAGCCATTGCGCTGCACAGCAACGTTTCCAATGGCCACTGCGTTTCGAAATAGTTGTAAACTACCACGTTGTGGAGTGTAAAACCTACTTTCCCTTATTTATATATCACTCTGAAATGTTGTACAGACTCATTGTTGCGCAGTGACTTCTTCCTCGACCGTTGCCTCGAGGCTCTGTTTTCCCCATTGAGTGGCGCTTGTGATCCACAGTTTGCTGAGTCTAGAACACAAGTAAAGTTTCACGTGTCAGACACAACTCAAAGATGTGGGACTCCTCCCAAATTTAGTTTCTTTAGCATGTATTATTCTTTCCCCTCATTTGTCCCAATAAACTGGTTTATTTTCCATTGACCCAGGTTCATCCGACAAAAGCAATGTCGCAACAAACAAAAAACATTGCGACATGTGTAATGGAAACGGCAGATAGGCTATAGGAGAAATGTTCTATAGATCGACATTTTTATTCGTTCGACATGGGTGGATTTTTTTTGGGTCGAACTTTTTTTTATTGCGACAAATGATGATGGAAACGGTGTTTTTGAATAAATGAGGATTGCGGAATATTTTTGAAGGTACGCGGGTCACATGATGTCAACAAGTAGCCTACCCTAACTATAAAGCTCCACTCCACATGTAATGCTAAGGGATGAATCGAAATGTACAGAATGGTTCCCTGTAGGAAAATGGGGGAGGGTCATGCTTTTGCAATTTCAATGAAGGGGAGGATTTAGTATTTTTTTCAATCTAGTTCAGGGGAGGGTCGTGTAATTTGTAATTTGTAATCAGTTGCTTATTAGGCTATAAATTGATGTGTGCCTGATGCCGCCCCTCATCTCTGATTCTCAGCTGAGCATACAATATCAAGTGTGTCTATAGGCTATTTCGTGTGTTCTCTATCAAATGATTCATTGCCTATATGCTATAGGCCACGAAGTGTATGCTCAGAGCACAGAGCAAAATTATATTTCTATAATAGCTGCTGGGATGGTGTAAATACAACTAGGCTGCATTACACACTGCAATGGATATTCCAACCCTAAACCCTGCTCTGCTCTTCCTGATCAAAAACGTTTTTGTGTGCTGCCTAACCAATGGCTGAACTGTGTAGGCAGTTCAGGAGGAGAGTCAAAGGCTTCTTCAGATTAGTATTTTTGATTAGGGCTAGTCCAAAAAAAAATCACTATCTTGTGCACGGACTAGCCTATAGCCTATGTTCTGTTCAGTTTGAGAAGGACAGCTTGAAGATGAGGAGGACCGGATGTCAACTTTGATAGCTTGTTACTACTATAATTGATTTGATTAAAATCTATATGTTTCTTGCCCATTATGTATTTATCAGAGTTATTGACCTCACAATAAGACAGATTCGAGTAACTTACATTTTGATGCTGAAACTTGAAGCAGCAGCAGCTGCGGCACTATCAATCGGAAATTGACAGCTCATGGTGGTGAAAGTAGGCTAATTCGAGTAGAAATAATTCATTTTAAACCATCTTCATTTTAATTAGACTTTGTGTTGGAGTCTATTTCTTCCTATTTAAGAAATAAGAGGTAGGCCGTTTTGACAGATGAAATTAGGTTATAGGCTGCTATTACCATAGATGTGTCAGTCAATTCATCTACCCACTATGCACTCTTTAAATAGCCTACCTCCGTGTCAGTGAAGGGCTGTTAAGTTAAAACCAAGACTCGAATTGATGGGGTAAGAGATGGTATGCCATAGGCCTACCTTTTATTAAAGAAAATGGCAAAAGCAGAGGCCTACCCCTTGTTAGCTTAAGATTTTGAATAAAATAAAACGGATCCGATTATATAAAGTGATATATAACAGTGCTTTGGTCTGCGATGCTTTATGCTAGAAACACATCTATCCATGCTGTCTTTTGCGGGCAACCTGAGACATGAAACAGATAGGTGGGAGGGCATACAGGCTGTAGACAATTTATTATTTCGCAATTTGCCTAAATGGGTAAACATTTAAACTACTTCATTTTTATTCGACAGTAAACACATTTGCATATACATTTCAGTAATTTAGCAGACGCTCTTATCCAGAGTGACTTACAGTAGTGAGTGCATACATTTTCATACTGAAAACACGTTGCCATCCACAGTTTTTATGTGAGGAAAATCATACCGTATAAAAACAATAATGACAGCTGTGATGGAAACAGTTTTGGTACAATTTTATAAATGCAGACAGATCATTTGTTCATTCGACATGGTGAGATCTTTTTGTGTCGGTAAAGTTAACTATGTGAGAAATGGCGGTGGAAACACCTTTATTCACATATATTTATATAACAACCATCATTTCAAAGTACATTTGGAGTCACACGATGATATGGTGGTTTGTGGTCCTCCCACTATGATTCGGGAAACCATGCAGTTTATTAGGCTATAGATTAAATACATTATGATGAACTTCACAGGGTGGTGAAAGTGTACAGTGATCTTGATGCTCCTTTCAAATAAATATCGACGGGTTTATTCTGGTGCCAGGATGATCAATGCTTGACTGCCATTTGACAAATACAAATATTCTCGCTCTTATCCATAATAATCTCATCATGTAGACTAGCCTACCCGCACAGCCTACCCGCACTGTGTCTGCAAGCTGTTGGCTAGAGCGCACGTGCCAAGACCAGAGTAGGCACAATTTGCTATTTAACACAACAGTTTTTGTGACAAATCTTTTGGTAGAGGGCTAACAGTCTTGTGACATGCAGGAGACCTGGTTCGTACCCAGTTAGTCACAAGAGCAAGATTAAATAGGGAGTGGAAAGGCTATCCTTAGGATGGCTATGACAGGGATATTCAAATATATTTTATGGAGGCCAAATTACGTTTTCTGTGACATTCCCTTGTATCGTGTCCTGCCTGGCCTGTGATCATCACGTCCATGTTCCAGAGAGTCTTATCTTTCAGGAATGGGGTCAAAATACCTTATAGCCAAAACAGTCCAAACGCTAGAGCCAAATTAATAGAAAGAAAATAAATTAAACATGCCACATTGGCTTCAGAAACAGCCAGAAGCTTCTGTTTACCGCAGAGAATGTTTGATTCTATCTCTTCTCCTCTACCTTTCCTGACAAAGTACCAGGATGCAGTCTCTGGTTTTGAATCTGAATTTCAAGAACTGAATTTGAAAAAGGAATCTGAATACATCTAAGATGAATATATGAAACTTTGATGAAATTATAGTTGTTAAACATGATACACGGAAAATGTATGCAATATCTACCATAATGAAATGGAATATATAAATTAACATTAGCATATTCTATTTAATTGAAATTGAATTTGAAAACTGAATGCAGTATTCATTCAACTCAGTTTAAAATCATGAAATAAAAGTTCAATAAATGAATTCAAAGATTCAATTTGTGCAATACACAAATAAAACAATATTAATTCAAATTCAGTATCCTAATACAAATTTAAATTATGGAATTTAAATACAATTTCTGTTGGCACTGAAATCACTCCATAACCTTGCACATTAATGATAAAGCTGTCATTATATCAATTATAATTCAATAATCTAGCTTTTTATGTTAAAATTAATAGTTATTTGTAGTGTTTTGAAATATAATAACCATTCATGTAAATAGTTATTATATTTGATGAAAATCTGATTTATAGTTCTGTTCCACTTCCCCTGAATGGTGTTTGAATAGTGGGACAGAGACATTTTCATCAATTTAAATGTAATTTATTTTATGAAATATTCTAAAATACATTGACATATGTTGTTTTAGTTGTTCATAACATCTCTAAATCGATTATAGATGCTACAGTGCCGACAGAAAGTATTCACACCCCTTTACCTTTTCCACATTTTGTTGTATTACAGCTGGAATTTGAAATTGATTAAATTTAGATTTTAATTTGAGAAATTAATAAAAGCTGAAATGTCTTGAGTCAAAAAGTATTCAACCCCTTTGTTATGGCAAGCCTAAATAAGTTTGAGAGTAAAAATGTGCTTAACAAATCACATAATAAGTTGCATGGACTCGTTCCATTTTCAATAATAGTGGTTAACATGATTTTTGAATGACTACCCCATCTCTGTACCCCACACATACAATTATCTGTAAGATCCCTCAATCGAGTAGTACATTTCAAGTACAGATTCAACCACAAAGACCAAGGAGGGTTTTCAATGCCTCGCAAAGAAGGGCACCGATTGGTAGATGTTTTAAAAATTAAAAAAGCAGACGCTGAATATCCCTTTGAGCATGGTGAATTTATGAATTACACTTTGTCACTCAAAGATACAGGCGTCCTTCCTAACTCAGTTGCCAGAGAGGAAGGAAACTGCTCAGGGATTTCACCATGATATTACGCGGAGTGGAACATGGGAACCCAAGAGCAGACTCAGACGAGGAGACTGGGATGAAGTAACCAGGGTATCTATTGAGACACAGGAGGAAGATGGACTGCAGGTCAGGGGAAACTGCTGGAAACTAGGTGTGGCTGGAGCAAGGGGGGTTGAGACAGGGTGAGCAGGTCTGGAGGGGAATCCAAGGGAGTAGTAGAGTGGGGAATCCAGGACAGAGTAGCAGGATGACGAGACGTGGGACTGGAGACAGGGACCAGAGTCAGAGCGGGCAGAAATATAGCGGAAAACAGGCACAACAGGATCTGAATAGTAACAAGCGGCTAGAACCGTAGACTGACTGAGCAGAGATTACGATCTGGCAGTGTGGAAGTGGCAGGACTGAGTATTTGTAGAGGTCTTGATTATGGAACAGGTTGCAGCTGGTGGGGATCTGCTCTGACTCCAGCACACCTGTCTCCGCCCACACAATCACACACACATACAGAGAGAGAGAGAGGGAGAGGGAGAGAGTACTGGGGGAGTGGCGGCAGGTCAAGGAGACACAGGATGAGCAGTAGAGGGCGTTGCAGGAGCAGATGTGACACGAGGCCAAAGGTGATTTTAAAACAGTTACATGGTTTAATGGTTGAGATATAAGAAAACTGAGGATGGATCAATAACTCC